GAGAGCGAGATCGAGAGAGCGGTGAAGAAGTGGTGATAATAACGAAAAAAATGGGATGGTTAGGAAAAAAAGGGATTGTTTTCTTTTTCTTTTTTTTTTCTTTACTCCACCAAATTGAGTTAAATTAAATTTTAAATTTATGATTAAAGGAGCAGATTTATATTATGAGGAAGAGATTAAAAAAACAGCATTTTTTTTTATACTTCCACCTAATTAGATAAAATTTTAATTGTAATCCTAATCCTAATCAAAATTAGGGGAGATATTAAAGGAGGGATTTATGTTAATTTTTCAAATGATTCGTTTAAATAATTAAATAGGAAAAAAACAATTAAGAAAACAAATCTAAATTAAATTTCAAATTTGAATATACTAAAATTAATGCCATTTTATAATTTTAAATTTTAGTTAAAAAAATCTTCAATGTATTTTAAATTTGAGATTTCGTCTCTCCATTCCAATTTTTAAAATCATTTCTCGCTCAATCTCGCTCTCGCTCACTCATCTCTCTCGCTCAATTCTCTCTCTCAACTTTCTCTTATTCAACTCTCTCTCTATCTTCTTCCCCATCCCATCGTAACTTTCTTCCTCTCCTGAGCCTCTTTCATTGACGAACGACCTCCCTCGTCGGCTTTGATGCATCCGTCGTCAGGTTGAAGGTCACGGGAATTATGGAGGCTGCTATTTAAAAAATGGTGAGAGATTTAGGTTTTTTTTTTATGGTTTAGTAAACAAGAAAAAACTCATGCTTGCAAAGACATGGAAAAGAGAAAGAAAGAAGAAATAAAGAAAAAGAGAAATAAAGGAGGAAAATGACTAAAAACTAAAAAGTTTTGAAGTAGAGTAAGGAGGGGCATGAGAGGTCATTTGACAAATGTCAGTCTGTGAGAAGAGCGATTAGAAAACTTAAAAATGACTTAAAGCTTATTTTGTCAATTTTTCCAAGAATATTCTCCCTCCTTTCCTCTGTCCGCTAGCCTTCAATTTTGAACTCCACCTCTTATTTTCTCGGTAATAATTCGAGTTCTAGAAAGTGAAATTCGATACTGCGCCAGAGTTGGATATGGACACAATCCCCAATTTCATCTTCCTTTTAGCAAATTTTTGACGACCAATTCGTAACTCTTTCATTCCCCTGTCATTTTAGTTTGGCAATGAACGAAACTACTTGCTAGGGATTGAGTGATTCAAGATCATGCCTCGCGGTCGCAATCTATCCAACGCCGTTACAAGGTTTTCTCTCGATCCCTCTGGAAATCTCATGGGTTTCAGTTTCAATAGTGTTGTAATTGAATACATTTACATTTGTATCAACTTATAGCCTTAGCCGACTGCGTTGAAAAATTCTGCTTACTGAAACGTAATCAACTCATCTCGTAACACAGGATTTGTATTTGTTGAAAAAGGTGTAGCTCATTGGGAGCGTTTTCTGTTTAGCTCTTCAGATAGTTAAATTGGTTATGAATAGAAGCTTGCTTAAAGTAGTTTTCACTTTCGGGTTGTCAATTATAGTTGTCATCTGTGTATGCGTTTTCCCTTTGGAGGCACATGGAATTGGATGATTGTGGTGTGATGTTTATGCAGGAATTCATTGGTCGGATTCATTTCTCTGATTCGAAATGTGTCACGTCGTTCTTTATCGAACATACCCGCATCATTTGGGCAGTCCAAATATGGAAGCTGTGAGCATCAAAGAAGTAATCATATTGTAACACCTCTTCAGGAATCAACATCCATACACTTCCCACCTGGCTTCCTTTTTTCTAGGAGATATAATGTGCCTGAGTTCCTTGGTGGTTTTAAAAAATGGCAATCTTTTAGGCATTTTAGAAGTGTCGCGGTAGAGCTGAAGACAGAYAGCAACATTGTCAGGTTTTCTTTTGGTAGGCCTTCTGTGACTAATGGTTCCCCACCGAAACAGAAGAAGGTGGCTAAAACTAAATTGTCTAAAAAGGCCAAATTGAATGAACTCAGACTCTATCGTCTTAAGGCAAAAAAGAAGAAGACATCTCCCAATCCAGAAGTTAGGATCAGATATTCCCTAGAAAAGGTTGGATGCCATCTACAACTTRTGGTTATACATCTAACACTTAGTTTGGTATTAAACTATTTATCTCCTCTTGCTGGACAAACAAGTGGTGTGCAGCAGTCTCATTTGTAATATTAGTTTTCGATTTCACTGCTTACTGTTCAGCTTTTTATCCTTCAATATATCAAAGGTGACTGCAGTTCGATTAGCGGTTGTGTGTGTGATAAGATGCGCCAATAATGATTTTTTCTCTGCTTTCTTCTGCTTGACATCACTATAAAACCATGATCTATGAAAGTTGATTCTTTTGTTTCTTCTGTCTTCTGTGTATTGACCATGCATAACTTATAATTCATAGTTCCAGTAATTTTTATCAGACTTTAACTAGAATTTTCTCATGTAAAAACCTGGTTTTTTTTCTTTTCTTTCTTTTCTTTTATCAGAAACGCTTGTATCGAACAAAAATATAAGGTCAAACAAAACTTTCAAAGCAAGAGTGATGAAGAAAAATGATTTATTTAATTTTYATACCTAAATTCATTTTACAGGTTTAGTTGAATTTTGAATTGATAAGTATGACTGATTGAAGTGTTCTTGGATCTCCTAGTGATCATTTGTACTTATGAACTGTAAAGTTTATTTGATRTTGCAATGTTTYGAAGACTCAACAATATATTAATAGGCCAAAAGGAAAGAAGCGTGGYTGATTGAGAAGTTGAGGAAATTTGAGGTTTCCAAACCTGTTGTAGAAAAATATGACCCTGAAATTCTTACTGAGGAAGAGAAGCACTTCTTAAAGCGTACTGGGGAGAAAAAGAAGAATTTTGTTCTGTTGGGGAGACGAGGCGTCTTTGGTGGAGTTGTTCTCAATATGCATTTGCATTGGAAGAAGCATGAAACTGTCAAAGTTATTTGCAAGCCTTGCAAGCCAGGGCAGGTTCATGAATATGCTGAAGAACTCACTCGATTGAGCAAAGGCATTGTGGTTGACATTAAACCTAACAATGCCATAATCTTCTACCGGGGAAAGAACTATGTGCAACCAGAAGTAATGTCACCTCCAGATACACTATCAAAAGACAAGGTAACCTGAGCTCATTCTGAAAACTGAAATGAAATGTGATTTTAACCTTACTTGATCAAGCTCTATTCTATAGGTTGTATAACGTTGTCCTTGAGTTATAAGTAAATGAAACGAGCTTTTTACCTAAGAAAATTGGTTATTTGATTAAAATCTTCAAAAGAAACCAGTAACCTGCAGAATTTATATCTCATTTATTGTCCCTTTGGAACTCCATATTCATATKTTATGGCACAATCATGCTAGTTAGTTAATGGGTTTGTATGCATCGAAGTGTAATATCCAATATTGTAGTTTGCACATCATAATAATTTTTCAGTTTGCATTTTGCAATGTTCGTATGTTTGTAAAAATTATAATAGTTACTTTGTGGATATGTTCTTTCTAATTTTTTTTGAAGAAAGTWTAACTTGTACACCTCTTCTAATATTATTCCATGCTCATATTTGTATCTTCCTTTGTTTTCTTAAAATAAATTTTTGTGCCTTAGTACACCTTCTTCCGCCTTAAAAATCATCATCCTATTTCATAACCAAGCTTTGGACTTTATGGTTCGAAAGGACTAGGTCACTTTATTAACGAAGGCTCTRATGGTTCTAATTCAATTAATTGTGACTAAGCATTTGGCTATATGATCYGAAAAGAATTAGGTCGCCTTTTTAACAGAGGCTCTGTTCAGTTGATGGCTTCATTTTGACCTTCTATCCCAAAGACTAATTTTTTTGTTCTTAGATCGTCTTTTTTCCCCTTTCTTTTTACTAGCTTGCTTCTTAGTTCTTAAGATTTGATGTCTAATAATCTTCCGTCTACAATTTCACCTTGGCTCTTTTTATTCCTTTCTTTAAAACAAAAGGCTCTTTTGTTTGGCTCAGTGGGACAATTTGTATAGTTAGGCCTTTGAGTATCTTGTTTTGTAGTTTTTCATATATCAAGAAGAAATTGATACTATAAAATACATTTGTTAAAATACAATGTTTCATATTGAGGGCAAATGAGAACTGTTTGAAGATAATAYAAACGATTAAGAATTCCTTCATTTACTACTCCCCGATTCTATCAGCCCCTCTCTTTCTCCTAGTTTGTCACCACTATTTCCCTTTTATTCCCCCCTGAACCTTTAATTTGTATCTTAACATTTTCCTTGCCCCTTTTCATCTGGTAGATTCAAACTCTCTATTATCCTTATAATATAACATGCCTCCAGTTTTAGATCCCATTGAGGAATGATTATCATAGACTCATAGTTTAAKGGCTTTAAGAATTAGCATAATTTTGGATGTAAAATATTGCAGGCCATGGAAAAATATAAGTATGAACAATCACTTGAGCATACAAGTCAGTTCATTGAGAAGTTGGAGAAAGAACTTGAAGACTTTCAGAAGCATCTTGCTCAGTTCAAGAGAAAAAAGGAAGATGCTGGTGTAGAATCCATGGTTTAACTCATGACTGGTAATATTTATTTCCATTCAACTATTGTCCTAGTCAAAATTTTCAAAACAGAAATGTTCTTTGAAATAGATGTTGAGATGTAAGTGCAACGATCAAAAGCCATTGCCATTGTTGTAGCTGAATTGTCAATGTCATGTATAGCTATTTTATTTATTTTTTTCATCTTCAAAATGGAAATTTTACAAATTATTCCTCAGTCATTGAACTATTACTTTGCTGTGCAGTTAGTTTCTATCTATTGATCATCAAGGCTATGGCCTCTGGAAGCTTGGTTGTCATTTCAACTTTGGGCTATACTGGGTTCACTTTTGAAAGATGCAGCTGTATTCATCCTATTTATGGAACCTCATTAGGAGAAAATAGGTAAAGGCTTTCAAATACGACCTTACTGGAGCAAGATAAGTTGTACAGCTGCATCCTTGACTTCTAAGAAGCTAGTTCCAAATAAAACTACTTCACCTATCTGTGGGGGATGATGGCTCTGTGTGTTGAATGTAAAGTGAGCTCAAAACGCCGTTTTTCAAATTTTTGAGAAACATAKGCCTATTTGGCTTTTAGTTTTTAAMATTAGCCTTGTGTACTTTTATTTTCTTAATCTACCCTCAAAATCAAGCAGTTCTTTTTTAAGAAAAGATATCTTTAGAAGCTTAAATACTAAACATAGAAAACATAGGTGAGTTGAATTTTCAAAAATGGAAAACCAAAACATGTCTTTTATGAACACTCTGAGTCTCCATACATATAGAGATATATATTTTTCACTCTGTTTTCTGACTTTGTTGCTGCACCTTTTTCACCAGATGCTACATGCAAGTGGTTGAAGTCATGTGGTTTGAGTTGTCACCATAGCCTTTTTCCAGTCCAAATTGATTCTGTATCTCTGTAACTAGAACTCCTSTTTCCTATTGTCGGTCTCTTGGAATGGAAGCAGCCAGATCTTGTGTATCAAAATAAGGAAGATATTGTAGAGATTGAAGGATGAGGGTCAGCCCATTTCCTCTGGACTTGTGCTTTTGGGGCCATCTTTGGAAAGTAAAGGGTGATGCATTTAAGCMAAAATGCTCATGTTTGGCATTTTAGCAAAGCCTAGAATTGGCTCATTTTCATCTCTTGCCCTTTATTATTTTCCAATTTTTTTTTTTATACCCGTGAGTGTCCGGTTCAGCTTATGCGCACCTCAACTAATCTCACGGGACAGTCGCCTGACTCTACAACATTTGGTACTGGAAAATACATAGGAAGTAATTCTCAAGGTAGGTGACCATCATGGTATTTTTCGATTCTTTTTAAAGTAGAATTAGCAAATGAGTGGTTTGAGAGAATTTTCCTTTGTACTGGYCATACCCTTTGACTCTTTTAACATTTTTGGCCCTTAAAGTTTATTCTAATTAAGGTACACGAAGTTTAAATTAATTATACTATCTTTGATTTTGAAACTTAGAAGGATCYACGAGCTTTCATTCTTTTATTAATTCAATAATTGCAAGTCGAATGATTGAACTATCAATTTTCGTGCATTGGTGCAACGGATTATGCGGGTTGGCTAAATTTTARAAAAAGAAAAATAATCTCATGAGACAGTCACTTGACTCTACAATATCGAATTTGAACCTACTCCCCCACTTCACCCTAATCCCTTTAGATCACTTCACCCTAATCTCTTTAGATCATTGAGCCACTCACGATGGTTACTCTCTCTCTCTCTCTCTCTATCTATCTCTCTCTCTCGTCATTACATATAGGTAATATTTTTCTATAAATTATTATATCTATATTTTTTTTCTTCTCTATAAATATTCAAATTTTCTAGATATTGTTTTTGTTTTATTATAATTTTAATTTTAATTTTGCAGAGTCTAAAAGAAGTCGATAATTTTGAGATTAATTGTCTAAGTTACATTTTCTCATTTAACTTTACATTATATGTACTATGATTTAAAGTTATTTTTTAATATAATGCTTAATTAAACAAGTTCCTCCCAACCAAATTTCTGGATCTACCACTATAGATCATGACTCGTGCCAAAGTTTGATTTTAAAAAAATACCATCATTATAGAAATATGCACTGTAGAAAAATTACATGATCTCCAATGAAATATGATGCCATTGGTAGACTATTTTTTTCTTAGGTTTATTAGACTTTTAGAAGCTTTTAATGGAAGCCAATAGTCAAATATGACTGGGTGGTCTCTATTTCTTGATGAAAGTGTTTTTTTTTTTTTTTTGTGTGGGAAAAAAAAAGAAAAGTTTATTTTTTTTCACATATCCTATGTTAATCCAAATTCCTTTGAAAAAAAATTGCACATTTTTTTTAACTTTGATCATGTGCTAGAAATTTGTTGGATCAATTCATTTATAATACGATGTAAAGGCTAAATGTAATGTTCATTTCTTACCATTGCAATATAACATGCCTTAAATCTACAGCCAGTTATAAAAATAACATTGTCACTTGTATGGTAACACATTATAATTTTATAAGAATATCGAAACAAAAATCTTGTTTAGTCAAAATGAACTTAGTTCAACGATAATTAGTACGTATTTTTTGATCAAGAGGTCATGAGTTTGGATCTTTCACCTTCACTTGTTCTACTTATTGTTTAAAGAAAAATTTATTTAATAAATGTAACACTCCCGTCCCAAGATTCGGACTATCTCGAAATTGCTCTAAGCTAAGCACCTTATTAGTATAGGTAGTAACTATCCATTTTTTAAGTCTTTTTAAGCAGGATCACATTCTGGTTCATCTATGTATCCTTCCTCTCTACTCGGGCATTACATGTCCACCAGCTTCCACGTGTTTCATCCCCAAAACTATTTTAGACCCTTACCRATAAATTTTTGTTAAATCATTTAAAATGATCTAAAAATATCTAGAAGCCTAACATTTCAACCTAATACCATAGCTTGGAATATTGTTTATGTAAATGTCTATTATAATATAAATGAACAAAATATGCTTTATCAAAAAAAGCAAAAGAACAAAAGATAATGTATCTATGTCAATTTTTTGTTAAATAAAAAAATTCAAGAAAATAGCTGACGAACTCAAAATTAGTTGTCAAAGCAAACAAAGCTCAGCGTTAATTGACATATATCTCCAACCAAGAGGTTGTGAATTCGAGCCTCCACCCCACGTGGTGTTCTAAAAAAACTCAAAATTAGTTCACTTGTCAGTTGCCACACTTCAACTGTCCTGTCATCATGCATAATTCTTAATCAACACACAATTAATGTCATTTAATCCATAAAATTAACGGCAGACTAAACTTATATCAGACACAAAATTGAAAGTTGAGAAGCACCGTAGGAACCCACTAAATAAACCAAAATTAGAATTCAACTTAGATTTGAATACCTATAAAAATAGAGGGAATTGAATGAGATTGAGTGGATGAAATGAGAGAGTTTGTGCCCAAAGGACATGTTATTGGTTTCATTGAATTTAACATCTGAAACCAATCTGCCTCACTGACATAACCCAATGGATTTCTACTCTAACTATTACTTCATTCATTCATTCTTCTTTCCCTTTCAACCCTCACCTTTTTTTGCCCTCATCATTCTTCAAAATTATACTAAACTACTTTTTGTTCAAAACCCATGTAGAAAAAATTATTTTTTATCCTTATGTTTGTTTTTCTTTGAAAGATAAAAGGGTGAAGAGATTTGAACTCAAAGTGCGTTTTACTTTTTTTAGTTCAACGACATGTGAGGTGAAGATTCGAATTCAAAATGACAAAATTTGTACTGCATTGTAGTCTGGGAATTGGGAGTACGGAGGTTTGAACCTCCAACATCAAGAAAAGGAGTAGGTGTCAATTATCGTTGAGCTATGTTCGTGTTGGTCATCCTAGTCCAATTTGATGAAATTAGATTTTAAAAAATCTCACTAAGAAGCATACAAATGTCTAATATTTGAGATAGGTTTAGATTGAAAATAGCTTTTGGATGCTCTTTGAAACACTTTCTCGCTCCTACTAAAATCTATTGTCATAAGAGAATTCAAGACAAAACTACAATTCTAGAAGATTTTTTCTTTTTCTCTTTCTTTTTTTTTTTATATAATTTCTCATCCAATCTCTAACCATTTATACTAAAAAAATTGGATTAAGTTAACTATATATTTAAAATAAAAATAAAAATTTGTGTTTGTATGTATTTTTTTTTTTAAAGAATGTTTTCTATTTTGACTAAAGTACCTATATTCACATATTATTATTACTCACTAATTTGAGAAAATCAAAGAAAGAAAATGAGGAGCAATGTGGGGATAGAGAAATATAGTCTAAAAATATGTTACTAAACATTCATTTGATAAAATGTATTTATTTTAACCAGCTCCTTAAATTAAAAAAAAAAGTTGTTGAATAGCTCAGCGGTAATTGACATATACCTCCAATCATGAGGTTGTGAGTTCGATCCTCCATCCAACATGTTGTACTAAAAAAAAAAAGTTGTTCTCGCCCGCACACATTTTGTTTATTTTACCTAACTAATAATATCTACATYGATATCTACCAAAATAAGATTTAATTTTTTTATAAAAAAAATTAGGATTAAAATACTTGGAAGATAAAAGCAAAAATAAATAAATAAATAAACCTTTTGAAACAAACGTTTCTATGGTTTTTTTTTTATTATTTAAAAACATGAATGAAAATAAAAGGCCAGCATGAAAATTGAAAAGAGGGAAATTCCAAAATTTGGGAAACAATTATGAAAGGCTGCCATTGTCAGTACTTCCCTCCATTTGTACTTAAAAGCAAACAGATTATGAATGCTCTTATAATATAGGAAAGAAGCCAAATATTGAGAATGAGACTCTTTTTTTTTTCTTTTTTTTTCCTTATTCTTCATTATTTTGCTTGAGAGATAGAAAAGCTATTTGTACTTTGATTTCATCCAATGTTCTTTTTTATTATTATTATTATTATTATTATCAAGAATATGTATTTAAACCAAGAATAAAATGGCCCATTCAATTAGCCTTTGTATAATGTGTGGTATTCACAGGTGATAAGAATTCAAGCATGTGACAATTTATTAAAATTTTATTTCAACTTAWCATACTTCAACTATTTAAGGCATCTAGCCAAAACGATTATAGCTTAGCGGTAATTGACATATATTTTCAATCAAGAGATTGTGACTTCAATCCAATATCSCTATATGTTGTACTAAAAAAAACATTACTTAAGGTATCTATCTCTAGTCAGAAGATCGTGAATTTAAATTCTCCGCTCACATGTTGTATTTCATCTTCCCAACTTTTATAATTTTATACAAACGACATGTTTTAGATGACTGACCTGATAATGAGTTTTCTGATTTTGTTTTCTTCTATATTAAAGAAAATGCTTATGTGTGTTGAAAAATAATGAATTTTGACCTGGTAAAGTATTTGTTTTGAAAGGCCTAAATCAAGTACGAGTGAGTTTCACTATATATTTTTTTGGAGGATATATCTACACGTTTCATGTGACGTATAAAAGTTGGCACTAATGTATTAAACATTGTGGAGCTATGTTGATATGAACTAAGGAGCTCCCTTTGTCATGCCTCATGGACCGATTATAAGATTAAGAGCTAGAAAACTTCAACAAGTCTAACTACTTCATGTTCAA